GAGTAGCTGGGATTACAGGTGCCCGCCACCATGCCCGGCTAATTTTTGTGGGGTTTTTTTGTTTTTTTTTTTGAGATGGAGTTTTGCTTTTGTTACCCAGGTTGAAGTGCAATGGCACGATCTCAGCTCACTGCAACCTCTGTCTCCCGGGTTTAAGCAATTCTCCTGCCTCAGCCTCCCGAGTAGTTGGGATTATAGTTACCCGCCACCATGCCCAGCTAATTTTTTTATATTTTTAGTAGAGACGGGATTTCACCATGTTGGCCAGGCTAGTCTCAAACTCCTGACCTCAAGGGATCCGCCCACCCTGGCTTCCCAAAGTGCTGGGATTACAGGTATGAGCCACCACGCCCAGCCCTAATTGTTTTCTTTAATGTGTTGTTATAATGCAATAAACGATTTAAAGAAAAAAAAAAAAAAGGCTGCCCAGCCTCCTCCCAAACACCACAAGGACTTTAAAATGCTTAACTCCAACCTTCCAATTCTCAACTTTTATATTATTGTTATCTAGGATTTTAGTTTCCCCTAATTTACTTCTCATTGGCTAATAACTATTTAGATTTATCAGCTTCCTCATTCACCATTGTTTCTTGCATCCCACTTCTTCCTAGTGGGTTCAGTCTCCTTCTAGCTGAAGTATATCATTTACTAGTTCTTTCAATGAGAGATGTGTTTTTAAGTGCCTTTGTTTATAGCCCTTGCTCTTGAATGGTAATTGAGTGGGCACATAATTCTAGGTTGAATATTTTCTTGTCTGGATTAGAAGATATTACACTTCCCTGTCTTCTGGCATCTACTGCTGCTGATTGGAAGTCTATAATCAGTCTCATTGTTTTCTTTTGTAGGTAATCTCTCCTTTAAGATAGCTTGCAGGCTTCTTTGCATAGTTTCACCATGAAGCATTTTGGTATTGTTTTGTCCTTATTTATCTAGTTCAAGATTCAGAGCAAGACTCCGTCTCAAAAAAAAAAAAAAAAAAAAAAAAAATTTATGTTTCTTCAACTTTGGAATATTGTCACTCAATATCTCTATGAATATTGCTCCTCCCCCATTCATTCTATTGTTTCCCCTCTGGAATTCCTAGTAGACTTAGGTTGGACCTTCTCATTCTGTCCTTGTCTCTTAACTGCTTTTCCACATTTCCTATCCCTATCTTTCTACTGCATTTTATCTCCCAGATCTGTCTTCCAGTTGATGAATTACTTCTCTAGCTGTGTCTATCTGCTCTTTAACTCATACCTAAAATATGGTCCATGGACCAGAAATATCAGCATCAGCTGGGAGCTTATTAGAAATGCAAATTCATGGGCTCCACCCAAGACCCATTTAACAGAATGGGGCCCAGGAATCTGTGTTTTACAAAACTCTGCAGGTGATTGTGATGCTTACTGAAGTTTGAGAAGCATTGCTTTAGTACATTGATTTGACTGCTTTCATTTCTAGAGGATGCACTTAGTTTTTTCAAATCTGAATTCCCCCCCCCCTTTTTTTGCAATGAATTGCCTTTTTCTTTCAGCAAGATTTAAATATGTTTTCTAGCAAATCTTTATAATCTTATACTTATTTTATAGTCTCAAATTGCCACTCTTGAAGGTTTGGATTTTCCAGTTGATTGTATCTACTGACTCCCCTCCTTTCTTGCTGGTTTATTTTTTATTATGAGCTCATAACTATTAGTTCTAACTCCAAGTTTGCCCATGTCTGAAATCGTATCTCTTATCTAGGGGTCAGTAAACTGTTTTTTTGTAAAAGATCAGATAGGAAATATTTTCGGCTTTGTGCACCATATGGTCTCTGTCATAATAATGCCAACTCTGTCATTATAGTACAAAAGCACCCATAGAAAACATGTTTTTAAAATAGGCATATTGTATTCTAACAAAACTTTATAAAATAGGCAGTGGACTAGATTTGCTCTGTGGGCTATAGTTTACAAACACCTGCTCTTGAGTGGCCATTAGAACCTATAGCCCCCAGCTTCCCTTATTGCCTCTTCCATCTCTCTATATGTATTACATAAAGATCAATTTAAGGCTGTTTCCATGGCCGGGCATAGTGGCTCACGCTTGTAATTCCAGCACTTTAGGAGGCCCAGGTGGGCAGATCACTTGAGGTCAGGAGTTCAAGACCAGCTTGGCCAACATGGTGAAACTCCATCTCTACTAAAAATACGAAAATTAGTGGGCACGGTGGTGCACGCCTGCAATCCCAGCTACTCGGGAGGCTAAGGCAGGAGAATTGCTTGAACTTGGGAGGTAGAGACTGCAGTGAGCCAAGATTGTGCCACTGCACTCCAGCCTGGGCAACAGAGTGAGACTCTGTCTCAAAAAAAAAAAATTAAGGCTGTTTCCTAAATTTACCTAAGGACACTGAGATCACTGAAGGTACTTGTTCAAAACAGAATCCCTGACCCTTTCCCTGTAGGTACTGATTGAGTATGTGTGAGGTAGAACCAAGGTTTCAGCATGTTCAGGAAGAAACCTAGGTGATTCTAATGATCTGAAAAGTTTGGGGAAACTTGTTCTAATAAAGAGAATGTTAAGAACGAACTTACAAGGCTTACTACCCAAACATCTGTACAACTTTCTGTTCTTGCTCACATGAATGCCACAATGATTATTGCAAATCCATAAAATCTGAGTCAAAAAGGACTGCTCAGGTCATTAATGTGTGGTCAGCAAGGCACGATCTCCGTGACTCATGAACAGCAGCTGCTTTTTGGTGGGGTCGTCTTTGCAGTGCCGGATATAAAGAGGCCTCCCAGGAAGCCACATCTATTTTTTTGTTAAAGTCCCTTGAATAATAAGACTATATCGCAGTACAGATTTGGAAAAGACGGAATTTCCCCCAACAGCTCAGTGATAATGGTTCAGATAAAGTTCATCCAACTGTTCGTTGTACTTGTTTACCCAAATAACCAGGGAATGAATAAGTTGCAAAAGCATTTAAGGTATTTGATGAACTTTCCAATGATTTACAGGGTTAAACTACAGCAAAGTTTGCTATGCCAGAGATCACATCATTGTACAATGCATTGTTGTTTTGAGACAGCGTCTCGCTCTGTCACCCAGGCTTGAGTGCAGTGGCATGATCTGGGCTCACTGCAGCCTCAACCTCCTGGGCTCAAGCAATTCTCACGAGTAGCTGGGACCACAGGCATGCACCACTACACCCGGCTGATTTTTACATTTTTTATAGAGACCAGTTTTTGCCATGTTCCCCAGGCTGGTCTCAAGCTCCTGAACTCAAGCAATCCTCCAGTTTCCATCTCCCAAAGTGTTGGGATTACAGGCATGAGCCACTGCACCCAGCCTGTACAACGCCTTCAATGCTTTGATCCCTTCTTTACCACTAATACTCAAGAGCTGACTTTTATGTAGTACCTTCATTACATAATAGTGCCAGCACTGTTCTAAGACTTTTATACATATTAACTTTTAATCCTCAGAACAACCATACACATTAGAAACTATTGCCATCCCCATTTTCTTTTTCCTTTTCTTTTTTTGCTGGAGTCTTGCTCTGTCACCCAGGCTGAAGTGCAGTGGCATGATCTTGGCTCACTACAACCTCCACCTCCCAGGTTCAAGCGATTCTCCCGCCTCAGCCTTCCGAGTAGCTGGGATTACAGGCGACTGTGCCCAGCTTTTTGTATTTGTGTGAGCCACGGCACCTGGCTCACCATCCCTATTTTCAAAAAGGAAACCGAGTCAAGGAGAGGTAGGATAACTTGCCTAAACTTGTGCATACTGTAGCCAGCACTTGAACCTACGTGGCCTAACTCTAAAGTAGCAGTTCTTAGCCCTGGCTGCCCATTGGAATCTCTTGGGGGAGCTCTAAAAAAAAACTCACTGAGGCCTGAGTCTTGCCACCACAGCTTCTGATTTAACTGATGGCTTCAGGATTGTTATCGCTGCCCCAGTGCTTCTAATGTACAGTCAAGGTTGAGCACCGCTGGACACTCACGTGTGGACACTTAACTCCTCTGCCAGTGCTCAAATTTGGATCCCTAGACTGGCAGCATCTGCATCACCTGAGAACTTCTTTGAAACACAAGTTCTCATGTCCCACCCCACTCCTACTGACTCCGATTTTCTGGGGGTGGGGCCCAGCAGCTGTGTGTCAACAGGCCCTCTGGATAATGACGATGCAGGCTAAAGCTGGAGAACCGCGGCACTGTGCCCCAGTGAGTTACATCTTCCCGGGCCCCTACCCCCTTGAAAACTTTGTCGTGCTTCTCATTGAATGAGGGAGCCAAACGCCTTTCTCTTGAATCTAGGCGAGGCTCATGACTGGCTTTGACAGATAGATGGTCACTGAAGTGCTGTGCTGTGCAACTTCCAGAAGGCTTGAAGTTTTTGTTTTTGTCCCCTGGATTGTATCTGCCACAATTTAAGGAAGCTGATGTGGTTTACTGGAGGATGAGAAGCCACATGGAGGAGAACTGTAGTGCCCCAGCCAGCAGCCAGCACCACCTGCCAGGTATGCGAGGCCAGCTTGGACATTCCACCCCAGCCCGGTCACCAGCTGAACACAGCTACATGATCGAGCCTAGGTGAGACCAGTAGAGGAACCAACCAGCTAACCCACGTCATGAAAAACAATCAACTGCTGTGGTTTTAAGTCACTCAGTATTAGAGTGGTTTGTTATTCAGCAGAAGGGACTAGATTGCAGCTGTGCAATTTACCCTTAAACCTTGCCCTGGAGGGAAACTGGTTAGCCCTTGAAAGAAAACGATGCAGCTGGGCACAGTGGCTCACGCCTGTAATCCCAGCACTTTGGGAGGCCGAGGTGGGTGCATCACCTGAGGAGTTTGAGACCAGACTGACCAACATGGTGAAACCCCATCTCTACTAAATACAAAAAATTAGCCGGGCGTGGTGGCGCATGCCTGTAATCCAGGCTACTTGGGAGGCTGAGGCAGGAGAATCACTTAAACCCAGGAGGCGGAGGTTGCAGTGAGCCAAGATGGTGCCATTGCATTCCAGCCTGGACAACAAGAGTGAAAACTCCGTCTAAAAAAAAAAAAAAAAAAAAAGGTACCCTAGGAAAGTTGGAGATTTGGCTGGTGCTAATGTCAGGCAGGGTACTAGGTGGCTCACATGCAGGCCTGGATTCATGGGCACTGCCCTGTGCAACTGCACAGGACTCACGCTTACAAGGGCCTCACACTTATTTTATGCTCTGCTGACACTATCTAGAAATTCTTAATCACTTTGAACAAGGAGCCCTGCATTTTCATTTTCCTCTGAGCCCCGCAAATTAATATATAACCAGTCCTGCTAATATGCAGGTTTCTCATTTATTCCACCCAACCACCCGAGGAACTAGAATTCCTTATTATTATCAGCCTCACGTTACAGATAAGGAAAATGAGGCTCCGAGACGTGAAATACGCATACAAGCTCACATGGCAAGAGAGGCAGGGTGGCACTCAGGCTTCTCAAATCCCTGAGCCCTAGAGCCAGTTCACTGCAGTGAAACCTGTGTGAACCCTTGAGTGAAACCTGGAGTGTGGTTTATCAGTTTTCGTCACATACTTGTGGTACATTGTGACTGAGAAAAAGGAGATTTTGCTGATAGCCTGGCAAGTTGGCAAGACATTTCCTGGGCATATTAAGGAAAATGCACTAGCAGCTCTAACCCAGAGTATATTTAAACAACTACAGGAGCAGGCAGGGGGAAGGGAAAGGCTTGACCTGAGAAGTCAGGCCCAAAGCAGCCCAAATCCACTATTTATAGTGCCGTGGCCTATTTTGGCCTGCTGGGTGGCCCTGAAAATTGCCCTGAGAACTGGGCCTGGAAATGGACCATGGAAACCAGGCGCCTTCATTCTGGGGTATGGCTGGAATCATGCTGGGCACAGACAAAAGTTTTCTTGATGAGCTCAAGGATGTTTTGTTTTGTTTTGTTTTTTAAAAAAAAAAGCAAAACAGGATTTTCTTTGACAGGGAATTAAAAAAAATACTCATTTAAGGATCATCATCAGGAAATGATCAGGAATATATTCTCAGGGAGCAAATGCATGGATCAGACTCAGTCAATACAGAGGTAATACTTATGAGCCCTTAACCATGTGCCAAGCACTGTGCTACCTGCACCATTTCATTTATGCCCTCACATATGACCCTATGACAGCAGCAATATTATTATCCCCATTTTATAAGAAAGGAAACTGAGGCTTAGGAAAATTAAGTAATTTACTGAAGGTCACATTGTTGGCAAGCCAGGATTAAAACCCAGATCATGGCACCCTACTAGGCTGTCATCCATAGACTGCTTCTCAAACTTCAGCATACAAAGACTCTCTTGGGAACCATGTAAAGATGCAGATTTTGATTCAGGAGGTCTGGGTGGGGCCTGAGATTCTGCATGCCAACCAGATGCCAGTTGATGATGATAATAGCACTGGTTCTTGGACCATAATTTGAGTAGCAAGGATGCAAACAAATACTACAAGTTTTCCTGCTTCTACTTTTATCCTCTTACAATCTGTTCTCTTTGCAGCAGCCTGAGTTATTGTATTGGTCTCCATTGCTGCATAACAAACATCCCCCAGGTGCGGCAGCTTTCAGAAACAACACAATTTCTGAGGATTAGGAACATAGGAACAGCTCAGCTGGGGGATTCTGGCTTAGGGTCAAGGCTGCTGTTAGGATGTCAGCTGGGCCTGCCATCATCTGAAGGCTCAACTGGGCTGGAGGATCCTCTTCCACAATGGCTCTCTCCAATGGCTGTTGGCTGGAGGCCTCAGTTTCTTGTCATGTAAGTTTCTCCATAGGGATGCTCAAGACCAGCTGGCATCCTCCAGAGGGAATGATCCCAGAGAGAAAGAACAAGTGAGCACAAGACTGCTGTGTCTTTAATAATCTCATCTTGGACGTGGCACACCATTATTTCTGCCATATTCTACTGGCCACACATATTAACCCTGATACAATGTGGGAAGAGACACCCCAGGAATGGGAATCCCAGGGGGTGGGGGTTATTGGGGAGTCACTGTGCATACAGACTACAGTTTGGATGAAAACTCAGATCATGTCATGCTTCTGCCCATCATTTCTTATCAGAGTCAAAATAAAATCCAAAGTTCCAGCATCCAAATGAAAGCTCACCTTTGATTCTACAAGATCTGTCCCCTGACTGCTTCCTCATCTCCTCTCCCACTCTCCTCTAGCTCACTGTTGTTGTTGTTGTTGTTTTGTTTTGCTTTGGTGGCGGGTGGATTTGAGACAGGGTCTTGCTCTGTCGCCCAGACTGGAATGCAGTGGCGTGATCTCAGCTCACTGCAACTTCTGCCTCCTGGGCTCAAGCCATCCTCCCATCTCGGGTTCCCAAGTAGCTAGGACTACAGATGCATGCCACCACACTCAGCTATTTTTTTGTATTTTTTGTAGTGACTTCATTTCACCATGTAGCCCAGGCTAGTCTCAAACTCCTGGACTCATGTGATCTGCCCGCCTCAGTCTCCCAAAGTGCTGAAATTACAGGTGTGAGCCACTGAGCCTGACCTCACTTTTATTTTCTAATATATATATAATGTATTTTTTAGAGAGAGAGTCTTGCTCTGTCACCCAGGCTGGAGTGTAGTGGTGCAATTATAGCTCACTGTAGCCTCAACCTCCTGGTCTCAAGCCATCCCCTCACTTTAGCCTCCATTAGCCTCCACCACCATGCCCAGCTCCAGCTGACTTTCACACTGACTCTCTTGCTGGTCCTCAATATACCCAGCACCCTCCTGCTCCTGCAGGCCTTTGCATGTGCTTTTCCTTCTGCCTAGAATGAACTTCATTCAGGTCTCAGATCAAATAACACTTTCTCAGAGAGGCCTTCCTTGACCAAATTCAATACCATCTAAAATAGTATCCAAGATGTCTTTTCAGGCTTCTGCATTTCTGACTATCGGATGGCCTCACCCAGACCTGTGCTGTGACTCAACCAGTCCTGTGGCTCCCCACCCTGAAGTGGACTCAGCCCATGAGGACTGCTTTCCATACCCCTATGATTTCATCCCCAACCAATCAGCAGCACTCATTCCCTAGCCCCCAACCCCACCAAACTATCTTTGAAAAACCTTTAGCCTCTGAGCCTTTGGGGATATTGATTTGAGTAATAACTCTGTCTCCTATGTGGCATGGCTGGCCTCGTGTCAATTAAACTCTTTCTTTACTGCAACGCCTGGTTTCTATGAATTGCTTTTGCTTGTGCAGCACACAGGAAGAAGCCATGGGGTGGTTATAAGATGTAAATGTATATTGTGAGCTGCTGAGTTTTGGAGTTTGGGGGTGATTTGTTATGCAGCATTATTGTGACAATAGCTAACTGACACACTCTTTGATGTTCTGTTACTGTATATTTATTTGTATCTGTTAATAGTCTCCTGAAAGAATGCAAGCTCCATGAGGGCAGGGACTTTATCTCCTTCCCTGCAGTATACCTAGCGTCCAGAACAATGCCTGCCTGCCACATTGTAGACACTCAATAATTACTAGTGAGTGAATATTAGCGAATGAATCGATCTCATTGTAGCACCTGCTTGCTTAACTATGATGCTATATTGCCTTCAAATCAGACCCCAAATTGCAAAGTATCAAAAAATAATTGTCTTGCACAGGAGTTCTAGGCAGCATACTATTCACCAGGAAAATGTGACTCAAACACCAAGCTGTTGGCCATTGTCTCTGTGCCAGACACCATCTCTCTTCACCTGGGCCATATCTGAAGTCAGCCAGAAAACACGACAACCAACCTCTGCCTGAGAACGGAAGTGCTACTTTAAATGACATTGGCTCACCTGGTTGGCTGGCTGTCCCCAGAGGAAAGCCAGAGACAGGGCTAATGAGCGCACACAAAGGGAGGAAATGCACTCCCACCCCTCTTCCTGGAACAGCTGCAGCAGGAGACGCCCCTCTCTGGAAAGGAGGAACAGGAAGCTGGGGAAAGCAGACCAACAATGTGGGGAAGCCACGCACTCAAGAGAAAGCAGAAGGAAAAAAGAATCTGGCGCTTAAACAACTGATTATTGGAATTTTATGATGAAATATAATAAAAATTAAGACCAACTCCTAAAGGTTTCTTTGGTCCTGCCATCTCAGGGCTCACCCTGGGTTGAAAGTACTGTGAATGAGAAATGTCTGGCTAAATGCCAGCCCATCAGCCACGCTGGTAGTGTGTTTTTCTTTAAATACAAATACTGGCCAGGTGCAGTGGCTCACACCTGTAATCTCAACACTTTGGGAGGCGGAGTGGGGAGGATCACTTGAGCTCAGGAGTTTGAGACCAGGCAACATGGCAAGACCCGTCTCTAAAAAAATACAAAAATTAGCTGGTGGAGTAGCTCACAGCTGTGGTCTGAGCTGTGCGGCTACTGGGAGGCTGAACTGGGATGACTGCTTGAGCCTGGAAGGAGGAGGCTGCAGTAGGGTGAGATCACACCACTGCACTCCAGCCTGGGTGACAATGAGACCCCGTCTCAAAAAATAACAACAAAAAACCACACACACACACACACACACAAAACAAACCTCTTACATCTGTTTAGGAAATAGAACCTCAAGTACTTTTTTTTTTTTTTTGAGATGAAGTCTCCCTCTGTCACCCAGGCTGGAGTGCAGTGGCGCAATCTCGGCTCACTGCAACCTCTGCCTCCCACGTTCAAGTGATTCTCCTGCCTCAGCCTCCCAAGTACAGGCATCCGCTACCATGCCCAGCTAGATTTTTTTTGTATTTTTAGTAGAGACAGGGTTTCACCATATTGGCCAAGCTGGTCTGGAACTCCTGATCTCGTGATCCACCTGCCTCGGCTTCCCAAAGTCCTGTGATTACGGGTGTGAGCCACTGCACCCAGTGAAGAACCTCCAGTACTTTTCAAATAGGAAAGTCACTGATATATAATCACCTCCATACTGATACCATTCATTTCTGCATCTACAGTTTACAGAACACTATCTCTTGTGTTGTTAAATTTAGAGACTGGGCACAGTGGCCCACATTTGTCATCCCAGCACTTTGGGGGGCCAAGGTAAGAGAATCACTAAAGGCCAGGAATTCGAGGTCAGCTTAGGCAACATAGTGAGACCCCCATCTCTACAAAAAAATTAGCTAGCCGGGCGCGGTGGCTCACGTCTGTAATCCCAGCACTTTGGGAGGCCGATGCAGGCAGATCATGAGGTCAGGAGATTGAGACCATCCTGGCGAACACGGTGAAACCCCGTCTCTACTAAAAATACAAAAAAAGTAGCCTGGTGTGGTGGCGGGCACCTGTAGTCCCAGCTGCTCGGGAGGCTGAGGCAGGGGAATGGCATGAGCCTGGGAGGCGAAGGTTGCAGTGAGCTGAGATTGCGCCACTGCACTCCAGCCTGGGTGACAGAGTGAGACTCCATCACAAAAAAAAAAAAAAAAAAAAAAAAAAAAAATTAGCTGTTTGTGGTGGTGCACAACTGTAGCCCTATCTACTTGGGAGGGTGAATTGGGAGGATCGTTTGAGCTCATGAGTTCAAGTCTGTAGTGAGCTGTGACTGCACCACTGCACTTCAGCCTGGACAACATAGTAAGACCTTGTCTCTGAAAATAAAAAATAAACCATTTTAATTATCATGATAACTTGGTGAGCTAGACTGGGCAGCTATTATTATTCTCCATCTAAAGAGAAAAAAAGTTGTGATTTATCATTCAGTGATTTGTCCTGGATCATAAAACTGGTAGGTAGCAAAGTCAATTCCAATACATCAGTGGGTCTCAATCCTGGCTGCATGTTAGAGTCACCTGGGAGCTGTTAAACAATACCCATCTCTGGCTCGATGCGGTGGCTCACGCCTGCAATTCCTGCACCTTGGGAGGCCAAGGTGGGCGTATCACTTGAGGGCAGGAGTTTGAGACCAACCTGGCCAACATGGTGAGACCCTGTCTCTACTGAAAATGCAAAAATTAGCCGGGTGCAGTGGTGGGCACCTGTAATCCCAGCTACTCGGGAGGCTGAGGCAGGAGAATTGCTTGAACCTGGGAGGTGGAGGTTGCAGTGAGCTGAGATCACTCCACTGGCCTGGGTGACAGAGCGAGACTCTGTCTCAAACAACAACAACAACAACAACAACAAACCTATCTCTCATTCTCACTGTGACCAGTTGAACAAGAATCTCAGGGGAATAAGGCTCCAGGTATCAGAAATTAAAAACAAAATCTTTCAGTGGATGGCTTTGATGAACAGTGAAGCTCGAGACCATCACAATCGTTCAAATAAACGAGTCTTACGTAAAAGTCAGATGTGTTTAATCATCAGCAGAGTTAAGAACACCTTCCTTCATGTTTCTTCTCTTGCTGGGTTCTACAGTGGAATACTGTTCAGCAATAAAAAGGAAGGGACTACACACACACCCAAATACGTGGGAGAACAACAAACACATGAAGCCAAGTGAACGAAGCCAGACTCGAAGGCTACCTGCTATATGATTCCATTTATGTAACATGCTGGAAAAGGCAAAAGTATAGGAGCAGAAAACAAATCAGTGATTTCCAAGGTGAGATGGGAGCCTGTTTGGTGCCTTTGAAAAACTTAAAGGAGGGCAGTAGTTAGCTTTTTAAAAAGAACTCCTATTCAGGAAAATAGTGCCAACAACTGTAACAACAGTAACAACAACAGCTAATGTTTCTTGTGGATTTACTATGTCCTTGGCACTGTGCCATGTCTCTTATGTGGACTGAAGCATCTGATTCAATCTTCATAGGCAGGAATTATTATTCCCATTTTACAAACAGAAAACTGTGGCTCAGAAGTCACATCATCTGCCCATGGTTATTAAAACCCATTTATGCCTAGTGTTCCATTATTGGAACGCTAAGCATGTGGGAGTTATTTATATCCTGCTACTCAAAGTTGTCACCGAAGTCTGATTGCAAAAATTCAAAAAATTTCAATCTCAGGCATAAATGGGTTAATAACCTGACACGTTGGGATTCAAACAGGTCTGTCTGTTGTTAGAGCCCATATTACTAACAAGTTGCCATAGGGCATGTTTTACACGGGGAAAAAAAATAAGTCTTTCTCTTCAGCCACAACAATGAAGACAAGAAAGTTAAGGCCAGCAATGAGAACTTCAAGTGACCTTTTGGAAAAAATAAAACCTGTCATGCCTAATAGCCCAGCCAGCTGCCTGACTTGGAGAAAACGCTCTCACTCTCAGCGCTGAGCCTTAAGTTGTAATTGCTGCCTTTTGTAGAAAAATGTGGAACTACAAAACCTTTTATTTGTATTGTTTACAGGTCTTTTCCATACGTGTTCGGTTTTTATCCTGGGCTGTTTTCATCATCTATTTTCTTTTTTTTTTTTGAGACAGAGTCATTGTCGCCCAGACTGGAGTACCGTGGCACGATCTTGGTTCACTACAACCTCTGCCTCCTGGGTTCAAGGGATTCTCCTGCCTCACCCTCCCTAGTAGCTGGGACTACAGGCGCCCTCTACCACGCCTGGCTAATTTTTTTATAGAGACGGGGTTTGGGGTTTCACCATGTTAGCCAGGATGATCTCGATCTCCTGACCTCACGATCCACCCGCCTTGGCCTCCCAAAGTGTTGGGATTACAAGCGTGAGCCACCGCGCCCGGCCTCATCACCTATTTTCTACCAAACTTTGTAGGCCAGATCTTCTCTAAATAGAAAGGAGTGGTTTTTCAGAATAAAAAATAAAGTTAAATCAAATCAAAGCACACCTGAAGACCCACCACTTTTAACTGAGTCTTCTGAATGCCCTGCCTTTTAGACTGTCCGCTGATTCAATGCGTGTTCTCCAGTGAAGTATAACACGTGTGGCGTGGAAGACTTTCTCTGTTTGTGAGACCAAATTGTTCTCCACGTGACTTGTGGTCTATGATTTCTTGTCAGTTAAGACTGTGAAGAGGCTGGGTGCAGTGGCTCATGTCTGGAATCCCAGCACATTGGGAGGCCAAGGCGGGAGGATCACTTGAGCTCAGGAGATCGAGACCAGCCTGGGCAACATGATGAAACCCCATCTCTACAAAAAATACAAAAATTAGCCAGGCATGGTGGTGTGTGCCTGTCATCCCAGCTACTCAGGAAGCTGAGGTGGGAGGGATCACTTGAGCCCAGCAGGCGGAGGCTACAGTGAGCTGTGATTGCACCACTGCACTCCTGCCTGAGTGACAGAGAGAGACCTTGTCTCATTAAAAAAAAAAAAAAAGAGAGAGAGAGAAAAAGACTGTGAAGACTTGTAATAGGCAAAAATCCTCAAACTTCTTTGCTAGTGAAAATATTATTTAACCATAAGCACTTATTGTGTACATAGACACACACACACACAGCCCAAACCAAAAACCAAAAACACTATTAGAAAGACTATGAAATGCAAAACAAAATGATTTTGGAATTTCAGAATGTACAGAGTACACTAACAGATTAAAATAAAACAAAGAACACTTTCCGAATACTATTGTTTCCAATTTTTTGCATATTTAGACACACACACACACACACACACCCCCCCAATCCTAAAAAGGTTCAGAAAAAAATAGTCTAATTATGTCAAATTTTAACTAAATAAGAAAAGAGTAAAAAAAATTATCATGGTGGAACATAGGTTTCATAATAAAAATAAAGTTTTTATTATAAAACCTGTATATATTCTTTGTAACAATTTACAAAGATTATAATTTTATAATTATATGTAATGTAAATAATTTTACACTATATGTAATAATACGGTATATGTAATATAATGTAATATTACATTACATATTACATTATATATAAAAATACATTACATTATATGTAATAATAAAATACATTGTATGTAATAATTTTACATTATATGTAAATAATTTAAATATGTAAATAATGTAAATAATTTACATTACACTATATGTAATGTAAAAACAGAGAGAATAAAAACGTCACTCCTTATCCTGCCACTGAACAATCACAA